CTCAAATATAAACTACCTAATACAAATATACTAATAAAATATATAATTATACCAACCTTATCCTAATGTCTACATTTATCTCCTCTAAACTAATTCTGCCTTTAATAAATGGCGTAAATTATACTAAATCTTAAATTTATAATACGTAGCAAAATATAATAAATTATACAAATATATCAAATTCTATCACCCCTCTCCCCTTAATGAAGCCTAGACCCATATTTTTATTGAAAAATTTACTTGTACTCATCCTTTAGCTATTGATCCTCATCTTCTTTTCAGCCATGTCTATACTAAATTTATATCTAAAAATCCTATTCTAAAATATATATCAAAACCTATCTTTTAAAAAAATTATCATTGTGTATTTATTTCCTCATGTACTCTTTGACACTCAAGTCTTTAAAAAAAAAACTGCTGAAATATATAAATCTCTTTTCATACATAAGTTGTTGAGAAATCAATGACATCTAATCATAAAAGTTTTCATACTTACGTTTATGAACAACCTCTTAACTCTAATCACTATGGTTTTCACCCCACGTCTTTGAAGAACTTATGAAATCTAATCATTATAATTTTTCGCACAACCGTTGTTGAAAACTGATATGTATATTTCTAAAGCATGTTTTTCCTTTTGTATTATTAGAATAATATTGTATGATTCTTCTTAAATCTTATTCATGATTCAAAATAAAAATCCGACCTCAAATTGAGCTCGATTGCGGCATAAATTTTCTAATGACGAAAAGCCGATTCTCTCTATGAAGATTTCTTGGTTAATCTACAACCTAATATACTAATTTTGAGGCTGTTTCATCTCTCGCAGCCCTTAAAATACAAGTTAAACGTAAATCTTCAATAAGAATTTAATCAACTATTTCCTAACAATAAATTTATATTATACTCTTATTCGCCGAATTTTTAAATTATTCTAAAATCTAAAATATAAGTTTCAAAATTCAAATGGTTTTTAGTTTACCAATAACTTCTAAATATAAAATTCCTAATTATCACCTTTAAATAACTAAACACAATTATATATTATCTACTATGCATGTTACCTTTGTCTTTAATTTTAGATTTTATATTATACATAAATCTTATCAAAATAATTTTTCTTTTTCATCTTTAATTACATATATTTCTTACGTTCTTCTGGAATTTTTTTTTTGTATTTTGACACATCTCCTTGTTGTCCCACCGGTCACAATGCATGATTTGCATTAGACTGAAGGTTGTAAAGGGCCGGTCTCCTTCGCTCTCCATCACCATTGTCCCAACGACATGGTTGTCATTGTGCATCAAAACCTAAATATAAAAATAGAAAACAAATATATATATAAAAAGGAAATTAATAATAATTAAGAATCACGAAATCATAAAATCAACTTTAATTCTTTATTCAAAATTATAATAGTAAAAATCATAAAAAAATAAAATATAATAAAATATAATTAAAAAAGTTAATAATTTTAAAAAAAATCAAAGATTCTTTGTATCGTAAAAATTTGCCTTTTTATACTCTTTTCAATCTTCTTATAACTAATCATAACTATACAAATATAATCTTTTTATCACGCGTTATAAGAATAAATCCACAAGAATTCTTTATGCAAATTACATATAAAATACAACAAAATCCAAAAGAAATCTTTATGCAAATTAAATCTAACATTTACAATAATAATAAAGGGTTAAACACAAATTTTGTTAAACATATTATAGTACAGTGGCGTAGCTAGGAATTTTCCTTAAAGGGGGTCCATACATATAAAAGCCTGGGGGGCTTCGCCCCCAGACCCCATTTAACGGGACTTCGGCCCTTTTGCCCGGCCTTCGGCCGGGTTCTTACAAATCATAACCATATCTTCGATAATATATAATAAATATATTTTTTAAATGCATCAATAATTTGTTTTATAATTTAGTAGATTATTCTCAATGACTTTATAATAATACTATCCAGATAATTTCAATAGTAATAAAATATCCTTCCACAAACATCAAAACCAGAAAAATATAAATATTATTCGTATTTATTTGATATAAAGTCACCACTTATAAGTCTTTTGAACGTATAATCTAAAAATAAATTTTTGCTCTGGGAGGGGTCCAAACCCGAAAACCACCCCCGTAGCTACGCCACTGTTATAGTATATTATTTATGTGTAGTTAAAAGGGGCATAGGTTTTCTTAAAAATTCAATTTTACAATATTGTCTACCTTTAAAAGCTGCCCAAGATGGTATGGATAAAAGATTTTAAGAAAATATTTTCCTATGATTTGAATATAATGTGGCTTTTTTGACATCAATATCACATCCATATTTTAAGAACTTATTGAGTTGGATAATAAAAAAAAAATTTCAAAATATATTAATAAAAGAAGTCCTGAATGTAGTACCAGAGTAAATAATAAAGTTCAAACTATAAAATCAATGATTAACATCTAATGACGATTATTTTTTTTAGATGAAATAAATGTTGCTGAGTTCCTTAGTACAAATAACATTGAACTGGAAGTTTTAAATTTAAAGAAAGTCGAAATACATTATTAATACTTAATTATTATCCTTCCATTAAGGAAATGTTTTATAAATGTAATACTGCAATACCTTTATTAGCTCCAATTGAAAGGGTATTTAGTTTTAGCACTATGTTAAGTACGTTAAACAGCAAGGGCCTAATGATAAATTATTTGAAAAATTTGATTATCTCTTAAAATAATGTATCTATTTTCTATTTATGCTAAGAATTTGCTATTGGTAATATTAAAATGCCTGATTTGTAAATTAACTCATCATTAAATATTTTATTAATTGTAAATATTCATTCTTATTAGGGGAGACTGGGGTTAGTCGAACCGATCTTTACAAAATTGGCTATAGCTCCTGGTTTTTTTAGATAATATATATAATAATATATGATTGGATACCTAAAACTATACTTTATAAAGATGCCTATAAAAAATTTAAAGATTAAATTTCTTATAAATTTTATTTTTTGTAAAAGTGAATGTTCAACAAGCTCCAATAGCGAGGTTAGGCAAACCACTTCAAGGGGCTTCCTAAACCAATGGTTTTTTTAGGCCATAATAAATTGAAATGCATTTTTATATATTAATAATGATACGTATAGAATAATTTTATTGTTATATTGTTCAAAATATCATAATACTTATAAAATGTAACTAATTATATATAAAAATTAAAACTTAATTTTGGTTTTAATAAACATTTTGGACATAAAAAAAATAAGGTTGAGAGATTATGTTTTCTTATCATAAATCCTAAATACCACTCATAAAACTTCCATGAAATTGCATTTTCAAGATTTTGAATTTTTTTTCATTATTAACTGACATAATTGACGTATATGGTATAGCAAGCTCCGATAGCTCTAAATTGGTAAATTATAATTGAAATAATATCTAGATATAATAAATACTCAAACTTTCCCAAATTATAGAAGAGTGTTTAAACTTTGCTATAAAATTTATTTATATATAAATGATTATATATTTTAATAAAAATTAATATTCTGTCATGTAAAAATTTTTTGAAAATTTTATCATTTTCTTTCTTAAATAAAATTTTTAATAATTAAATATTTCAAAAGATATTTTGTCTATAGATGTAAAGTAATAAAAACTATATTAGAATTAAATTTTAACCTTCTGGTGTATTTAATTTTAAAATGAGAGTCAAGCCCCGGAGTTTACCTTACCCCACTCCCCTATATGCGCATGTTTTCTTCATAAATAAATAATAAAAACTGTATTTTATAAACTATTTTAATTTAATTGGTAATAATAATTTAAAAGTATCTTGTATTCAAGATATTCTAATTAGGCAAAAGAATACAAGTATCTTTTATCTTGTATCTTTTAGATATTTTAAAAAGATGCTAGTATCTGTATCTAAGAATCATTTTTTCACAAAGAATCGGTATCTAGATTCTTCTAGGAAGGACCTGCCCGACTCTGGTAGCCGCCTTAATACAAAGTTTGTCAGCGAAAGCAATAATGTTCAAATTGTCTACTTCCATTGCACCTGCGATTATGCTTTTCATAATTAATATAATAGTATTAATGGCTAAGTTAAAAAATATATAATTAATCATATTTTAAGTTTCTATGTGGTTGAAATTGATAGTAATTAATTTTGTTAAAGAATTTACTTGACCACCTATTTGAACCTTTTTTTTCCTTCTCCTCGTTTAGAACTCGTTTTAAAATAAATTTCAGATTGTTAACCCCTCCCCCCCCCCCCCCCGCCGAACTCGGTATTTATATTGGAGACTACAAAGTATTAAGTTTGGATCATTTTAAATTCATTTTCAACGGCCAAAATTCCTTTAAAATAATTATTTTTCGAGCTGAGTTTTTTTTTCTGTCATATTAAACAGTAATTTTTGATTAATTGGTCTTGTTTAACCTAATATTTATAAATTTCAGTCAGAACTGGATCTACATTTTTAAAAGTTTTTATGCCCGTTTTGGAATTTTAAATTATTTATGGGCCGGGTTACAGGCTGAGCCGGCAAACCTCTTAAATATCTAGATATTTTTTGTAAATAAATTAAATTTCTGCTTTTTTGGTATCTACATTTATCTTTCTTAAGGAAGTACAAAGTTGTTGAAAAAAAATTCATATATGTTAATCTGTATGTTTGACACCTGTCAAGTATATTACACTTTTTATGCTAGATGATATTATTCGGTATTAAAATTTTAAAATGAAAAAGGATGATGAGTTAGATATAATTTTGGAAGGTATATTATAATCTTAAAATTTGATTTAAAATTCACATAAGATACCCTACAAGAATTTTTTAATAATCACAAAAAATTCGAAAGAGAGGAAACACATGAATTTAAAGACGTATATTTTATTATTTTTTTATTTCATCATGTTAATATTTTTAGCCTTCTTTGATAGAATATGAACAAATTTTTAAAAATATTGTAAACGACGAAAAAATGGATATATTTTCAAATTTCTATAAGTATAAAACATTGGGAAATCAAGGTAAATGTGCTTTAAATAACGAAAAACTTATAAGATCAATTTACCTATAGGGATATACTAATATTAAAATGATTCCGATATAAATGTGTATATATCGGAATTGGCATAAGAAGGTGTAAAATTTTAATGCATAATTCTCTTTCTATGTTAATAAAACTAGCTATCTAGTCAATTTAATGCTCAATAAATTGTTGATCCAGTCTGAACAAATTTATCAACAACATGTTTATCCATAAAAAATTAACTATTACCAATTTTGAGATATACATATTTATAGATATCTAAAGATATTAGCAACCGTATTTATCTATTATTAAATTTTCAGCATACACTTCATTTGTAATTTTTTTTATCATTTTATTCTTTTAATAAAAATTATTTAAAATATATTTCTCTAAAATATTTTTGGCAATTGGTTTTGTTTCATTAAAAATAATATTTCTAATTTAATCTTAATGCAAAATTATATATAAAAAAAAATAAATCATGCAATTTATTTTGTTAATTTTTTTAAAATTTACATACTATTTTAGTTTTAAATTTTATATAGGAATAAAAGAAGAATTTGAATCACAGGAAATATGGCCTAAAATAGTAAAAATTAATGATTCCACAAAATGTATATAATATATCTTTTTAGATTACTATTAATATCTCTATATTTTATAATAAAAATATTCTTTAGTAATAACAAATTCCAGGGATCTGAACCTTTATTTATAACAGTTCAGTTTGGTTACGGTTCAGATGCAAAAAATTATAATGGTTAGGTTACGGTTCTTAAGAAAAAATTTGTAAAGCTTAATTTGGGTAAGCTAAAAGGTTCATTATGATTACAAATTTTTTTCTAAATTATTTTTATCGAAGCAACACCATCTTTAATCATTTTAATTATAAAAATTAATTTTTGCCATCATTTTAAATTAATAATAATATTGTTTATTTATAAAATAGATGAAATTAATTTATTTTTATTATAAGTATCTATAAATAATATATAAAAAAAAATATAAGAATCATAACTCATTTCTAAATATTTTGAATGTAGATGTGATATATTTTCTAATATAAGTGGATTTATATTTTTTCATTGTGGCGATAACACAAATTTTAGCCCCAAAAAAGCCCTTTTAACAGACTTGTGTTGAGGGAACTATTGCATTGTGCCTATGAGAATATCCATTTTCTACAATTTCAGAATATTTTTGGAATATTTTTATGAATTTAAAAATAAATAAAAAACTAATTCTCCTTAATATGCCACAAAACGGCTATTTTATAGATGAAAATAATATAAATAAAAGAATAATTCTTACAAATCCGAATAACATGACTCATTGTGAGTCTTACAATCCCAAAACAAATCAATGCGCTAAGTTTAACAAACCAGATTATTGCGCGTAATAAAAATACATATAATGAATTTACAAAAAAAAACAAAATATATCCCAATACAATAATAAAAAAAATGCCAATTAGGACAGGAACCAAATACTATATGAGCAAGTTTATATAATTTTGGGAATTCAAATTTCTTTGATTCCCAATATATAAAAATTGATAATTTTTTGATTAATTAAATACAACTAAATCAAAAATTGGTTATTTAGTTATTTTGAATATTAAAATATAGGAAATAAGAATGCTCGAATACTATATCACAAAATCCCAACAAAAATTACAACACAAAAATTTAGAATTTTCTTCTCAGTAATATATATTTTATTTTTCACTTAAAATCCAGGAAAAATATAATGATCATTTCATAAAAAAAAAATTCAAATAACAACCAAATATATTGATTGACGTTCATTAAAAAATATTATTCTTTGCAGTATTTTATTGAACAACGCCCACTCCTCACAAGCCTAGTCATTCTATGAAGTTGAAAGTTATCGATCTTCATATTTATCCATTATCTTAGTTTATGGACAATGGTCATTTATTTTGTCATTTATCGACTTTGAATTGTTCTATTGACCATGGTATTTTCTATTTGACAAAGATCCTCAAAATAATACATAATATCACACTTTAAATAAACCGATATTATGAGAAAATAATTACATTTTGTTCTTTAGATTTATTGATGAATGATCAATAATAATGTCCATTCAAAGAAATTAAACAAATATAACCGAAATTCTTATAATTTGACTTGGATTTAAAAAAATTGTACCATTCTAAGTTAATTTTATTTTAAACAATTTATGAAATTCAAGCCTGATAAATTGTTTAATTTTTGGTGAATTTCATAAATTTGAAATAAATTGACTCGATAAGCGTTTCTTTTTTTATTTTAATTGAAAGAGGTCAATAAAAATGTTAACAATAAAAATATACATAATAAACAAAATAATATAAAAGGGGGGGGGGATATTTTTTTTGAAGTATCTATTTAAAAATATACATAATATAAAGAATATAATCAAATTTCAACCACGGCATTTACCCACAAAGATTAAACTTTTATTTTTTTTTAAAAAGATTACCGAACATGTGCAATTCAATTATTCCTCCTTCCAAGAATTAATTAAATAATTAAGCAGATAACGAAACTTTCGTTTTCTTTTCTTTTTTCTTTTGCCGCGGTTTAATTTACAATTATTTTAAAAAAATTAAATGTGTGGAAAAAAATACAAAGACGGGGAGGGAGGGGAAAAAACCATAAAAATGTCATTTTCAGCTCAATTAACTTTGTTAAAAATAAAAAAAATACATGTCACTGAACTCTTCTCCTCCTGATCTCTTTAATTAGAATCTGTGGTTAACAAATCCTTAAAATAAAAACCTGCCAAAATTAGATTAAATATTTAATGAGTTATAAAGAAAAACGAACAATCTCTCCACACATTCCTAGTATTGCACAGATTACTCGACACCACGGTGTCTTTCTTCAAATTACTATACCTTGGTCACTACCTCGGTACATTTCTTTATTAAAAAATAAATATATAATGAATAACACATATTATCTATATATATATAATAGCCGTAATCAAGAAATGAACGTTTTCGTATCTTGGTAATGTTAATTTTTTTCTATCAACTTTCCTATCATCGTAACGTTAATTTTTTCACTTTCCTATCTCCTAAGGTTAAAATTTTTTTTTTCTATCAACTTTCCTATCATCTTAATGTTAAATAAATCGAGGGCTATTATTATCTCGCTAATGTTAAAATTTTTTTTTAAAAATTTTTTTATGGGAAAATAGGGATTCGAACTCGCGACCTATCGTTCGGAAGGCAAACGTTCTCTCCATTGAGCCCCCCCCCTCTTCAATATTATATTTTGATATATTTGTATATATATGAAACTTTTTTTTATAAAATTAACTTAATTTAATCAGAATGATGGGGTTGATGGGTAATTATTTAGTTAGGTGTATATGATACTAAATATGCTTTATTAATATATTTTATAAAAATATTAAAATTTAGGAGAAAAAGAGGTAAAATTGTTGCAATGTAACACGTGAACATTAAGAGGATATTAGAAATATCAAAATTTAAATTGTGATAGAAATCATATTGGCTAAAATTTAAAATAGAGATCCTTGAAAATTTAATTTTAATAATGGGATATAGACATTGGTCTGAAAATTTTTTTACAAACATAGCCAGGCCTGATCAAAAAACCAAGTCCCATGCAACTTTCATAAAATTTTCATTTTTTTTATTTTGATTTAATAACAATGTCTTAAATTTAATTTTATATTCCATTTATTTCTATTGTGGGTAATTACTAATTAGTTAGGTGTATATGATACGAAATATGCTTTATTAATATATTTTATAAAAATATTAAAATTTAAGAGAAAAAGAGGTAAAATTGTTGCAATGTAACCCACGAGCATTAAGGGTATTAGAAATATCTGGGTAAAATTTAAAATAGAACTGATATTTATTTTTGCAGACATAGCCAGGCCTGATCAAAAAACCAAGTCCCATGCAACTTTTATAAAATTTTCATTTATTTTTTATTGTAATTTTATAACAATTTCTTAAATTTAATTTTATATTCCATTTATTTCTATTGTAATTTAATAACAATGTCTTAAATTTAATTTTATATTTAGATTTTAGAATAAAATTTAAAATTGTGATAGATATCATATTAAGTAAAATTTAAAATAGAGATGACATTGGCCGGGAAATTTTTTTTCGCAGACATGGCCAGGCCTTATCAAAAAACCAAGGCCTATGCGACTTTCATATTCTGATTGTATTTTTAAATGAATTATGACTTTTATATATGTTATTTCAGTTCTTCCGAACGATAGGTTGCTAGTTCGAATCCCAGTGTTGCCGTAAAAAATTTTTACATTAACGAGATAATAATAGCTCTAGATTTATTTAACATTAAGATGATAGGAAAGTTGATAGAAAAAAAATATTTTAACATTAGGAGATAGGAAAGTGAAAAAATTAACGTTAAGATGATAGGAAAGTTGATAGAAAAAAAATTAACATAACCAAGATACGAAAACGTTCATTTCTAGATTTAGGAATTTTTTTGTGTTACCAGTTATTTGAAAATAATATTTAATTTTTATTCTTTGTAACGTTAATAAATAGAATACTATGGAAAATAGACAATCTCCCAAACAATCAAAGGAAAGTATCCGCAAATTACGGAATCACATAAAATCCAAATATAATAATCCTAAATTAGTTTCATTAACTACAACTCATAATCCTAATTAAAATTTATATCTCCCAATTGATTTATCAATTAAAACTGCGATGATTCGCGCATGCATAAGCCGTTTTCATCAAAAAATTAAACAAATCTTTCCTACCACTTACACTTCTATTTTGGGAAATAGAAAAAGATTAAACATAACAAAAGAAGTTTTATTTTCCAATAATTTAGATAAAATATTTTTATTTTAAGGAAAGTGGTCGTAAAGTGCCAAGTCATATAAAATCCAAGAAACCCAAACCTATAGTAGCTTTAGTACCTACACCTCAAAGTATTAATTTAAATAAACCTTTTCCTATTGATATATCAACTAAAACTGCTAGGATGCGGGGCATGTGCTGCCCGTTTTCGTCTAAAGCTTAAACAGATTTTTCCCACCACCTATACATCTATTCCTAAAAATAGAAGTAATTTAACACATTTTAATACTAATGATAATCACTTAATAACTGAACATACTTGCGGGCCTATGAATATTATATGTCAATTTTGTTTTCCCATGAATTTCATAGCTGAGAGACCGAACAACGGTAAATTCACACAGTGCTGTCATAAAGGGAAGGTTAACCTTACCCAAATACCATATCCTCCTTATTTGAAAAATCTTATATCAAACCCTCAAGATAAGTTACATAATAATTTTATGAAGAACATACGTTCTTATAATTCAGCAGTAGCTTTTGCATCGATGGGCGCAAAAATTTCGGAGCTTACTGGTAGTGGCCCTTATTGTTTCAAAGTGCACGGCCATATATATCACCAGGTGGGTACCTTCTAATGCTTTGCCTACTTATGCCCAGTTATAAGTGTTAGATACGACACAGGCTATAGATAAGCGTATACACCATCCGGCAAATAGTAAATGTAATATAGATATTATGAAGCAATTAGATCAGTTAATACGACAAATTAATCCCTATACTCTTAGTTTTAAGACATTAGGTGAAGTCCATCAATCTGCATTAAAATTAGCAACTACTTCTAATACAAAACTCCCAACCATTAATATGATCTTTAAAGGAGATCGTTCTAGCGATCGACGCCGTTATAATTTACCATCTATGGATGACGTAGCTATGATTTTCAATAATGAAGATGGAGAGCCTCCTTTCAAAAGAGATATTAAAGTCTATCCTAAATCTAATGACAACGATCTTATTATTCTTAATGTATTGAGCCCAAATTTAGACCCCATGGTTTATCCTTTACTATTCCCTCATGGTGAACCTGGTTGGTCTCCTAATATGATCGCTGACAATTCTGACTAACAGGAGCTCTGGTATATAATGATAGTATTTAGGGTGCTAATAAGAGATATTGTTTCATTAAAAAGAATATTCCCCGTCATTTTTGACGGGTTATCAACTAGTTACAAATAATATCATAAATACATAATCAATTATATCCCAAACTTTATGACCAAAAACTCTTTAAAAATTTTATCAAAAATATTATGTTTATTTTCATATTAAAATTAAAACCTTCTCTTTCAACCTTCTAAGTTACCAAATTGATATATATTTTATGAATCCAACTCGCCCTTAAAATTTAAATTTCTTTATTTTATTTTTAGTTCATCTTTTTCTCTCTTTAGCTTTCACCGTTCCTGGTGGTAAGCTCCTTCAACATCTCTCTCCACTTTATTACTTCTTTATATTGGCTCTAACTTTATGACCCCATTGAAGTTTTGGCCTTCCTCTTTTACGTTTGCCCATCACTTCCAAACTCTCAACCTTATTTCCTATGTAGTTCATAGGCCTTCTCATTGTGTGCCCATACAACCTAAGTCTGTTTACCTTTAAGTTAGTCTTAATGGGCACAACCTTGAAACTACTTAGTATTCTTGTACTGCGCACTTTCTCCTTTCTTGTTACCCCAGAAATCATCCTTAGCATTCTCATCTCCATAGTTTGTAGGCTTATCTCGTCTGATTCTTTGGTTGGCCATGTTTCCGAACTATATAGAATAGTTGGTTGTATTATGGAACTGTAAATTTTTCCCTTTAATTTGTGTGGGATTCTTTTGTCGAATAGCCCAGATAAAGATCTCCACTTTAACCGCCCTTGATTAATTTTACTCTTTATCTCTTTTTCTATTGTGCCGTTTGTTTGTATAGTGGAGCCCAAATATTTGCAGCTTTCAATTGCCGATATCTGCCATTCATTTATATCAATACTCTCTGTTTCATCTCCTCATATCACCATATACTCCGTCTTTTCTCTATTTACTTTTAGTCCGTGCTTTTCTAGGATATTTATCCAACTCACCAATCTTTCTTTCATTGCATCATTGGATTCGGCAGGTATCACAATATCATCTGCAAATATCATATTCCACGGGACTGTTTGAGTGCTAATACATCTATTACTGTAATGAAGAGAAGTGGGCTGAGAGCCGACCCTTGATGAACTCCTTCGGCTATTGTGAATCCTGCTAAAGTACCTGTTGTGCTACGGACCATTGTTATGGCCCATATACATATCCTGTATTATTCTTATATATTTTTCAGGAACCTTTTTATGGCGTAGCGCCCACCAGATAAGTTTTCTTGGGATTCTATCGAAGGCCTTTTCTAGATCGAGAAAGACCATGTATAGCTTTTTGTTCTTTTTCCTGTATTTTTCACTCATTTGCTTAATTGCGTTGATAGCATCAGTTGTCGATCTTCCAGGCATAAAGCCAAACTGAGCTATTTCGATTATGTCTCTTAATCTTTTTTCTATTATTTTTTCGTATAGTTTTAGACAGTGTGACATTAGTTTTATGCCCCTGTAATTTTGACAATTGTGTGGATACCCTTTATTTTTGAAGATAGGAACTAGATAGCTCTGCCTCCATTTTTGGGGAACCTCTTCATTTCCAAGTATTTTATTGTACAGATTTGTGAGAGATTCCATCATCTCCTAGTACTTTAAGGTTTTCTATTGGAATATCATCTGGACCCCTAGCTTTGTTGTTTTTCATATGCTTGAGGCATGTGATTATTTCCTGTTCTGTTATTGGTTGTACAAGGTGTTGACATGGGGAGTGTTCACCTAGATATAGTATCTGGGGATTAAAGTTGAGAAGCTCCTGAAAATATTCTTTCCATCTATTCATTATTTCTTTTTCCTTCATTATCAATTTCCCATCTTTATTTTTGATTACTTTCGGAGCTCCGTGCATATCCCTTGAGTTCTTTTCTCGCTGTTTGGCTAATCTGTATATTTTATTTTGCCCTTCTTTGGTATGTAGATCTTCGTACATGTCATCGTATGCCATAGATTTGGCCCTAGCCACCGCCTTTGTAGCTAATCTCTTGGATTTTTTGTATCTTGACTTGTCATCTGCATTTTTGGATTTGTACCATATTTTATAAAGGGCTTTTTTCTCCTGTATAGTGGTTTGTACCTCTTGATTCCACCACCATAGTTCTTTGTGTGATTTGTTGCCTCCTCTTGTCAAGCCTAGCGTCGATTTTGCAGTGTCTATTAATCTGGATGAAAGGTCTGTCCATATTTTTTCACTGACTTGTGAGCAATTTATTGTTTCAATGTTTGCATTGATTGCAAAGGCATCTGTCATTGTTTTTAATTTGCCCCATTTGATGCATGGTTCCAGTTTTATCTTATTTTGAGTGGATTTATTTGAGATTTGTAAATCCATGATTAGTAGCTTGTGTTGCGCGGCGATATCTTCTCCTGGGATGACTTTGCAGTCTATTACATCTTTTAATCTTCTGCGAGAGATTAGCATGTAATCTATCTGTGTTTTCCTAGTACCACTTTCATATGTTATTAAATGACTATCTTTTTTCCTATAGTAGGTGTTGGTTAAGGCAAGATCGAAGGCTTGCGCAAATTTCAGTACGTGCTCTCCTTCATCATTTCTTTCTCCGTATCCAAAACCACCATGATGCCTTTTGTAGCTATCTCTTGCTTTCCCCACATGCGCATTTAAGTCACCACCAATTATGACTAGGTCATCCTTAGGGATTTCCATTACGGCTTCATCAAGGATAGCTCTAAAGTCATCTTTCTCTTCTTCCTTGCAACCCGTTTTAGGAGCATATACTGAAAGTGTAGTATTGATTGACCAATGCAGAGTTTTATCTTATTAGTCTATTAGAGATCCTGTTGACTTCTACGACTGAGGAGGTTTGATCTTGACTGAGGATGATGCCGATACCGTTCCTATTGCTAACAATTCCATTATAGTACAATTTATTCCCATCTCCAATCATAAAAGTCTTCTGTCCTTTCCATTTCGTCTCTTGTATGCACGCTATATCAATTTTCTCTTGTTCAATATTGATGCCAATTCTCTCGTCATACCTTTAAGTGTCCCAATATTCAAACTTGCTAATCTTGTCTTCTTTGCCTTGACCTTTATTTTACTTTTCACAGGATGGAGGTCTACACCCTGCGCGTCGCAGGGAACGCCCTAGCTTTCATATTCATATTTTCATTTGTTTCCTTCATTTTGTTTATTAGACAAGTATCCTTAGTACCCGGCTGTCCAGGCCTGTCGGTGACCGGGGTGTCATCTCTAAGTTCCGAAATTCATCTTGCCATATATCTTTACACAACAGTCATCGAAGAAAATCCTGAAAATTTTTATGCTCTTTATCAGGATTGAACTTGCGTCCTCTCTTCGTCCTTCTGTTTTCAATAACCCATTAGGACACCCCGGCATTTTTAGTTCATTTTTAAGATACTAAAAAAATTTATGAATCCAACTCGCCTTTAAAATTTAAATTTCTTTATTTTATTTTTAGTTCGTTTTTATGATACAAAAATTTACTTGCCTACAACCTTCTTTAAAATAAGATTAAAATTCAATTGATATATTCTATGAATTTTACTCGCCTTTAAAATTTATATTTCTTTATTTTATTTTTAGTTCATTCTTATGATACTAAATTTTCTTGCTTACAACACCTTCTTTAAAATGAGGTAGTTCATATTACAATAATAATAATTGTATTTTAAATTAATTTAATCATAAATATATATCCCATATTCTTAATTTCTTTTAAGGTTACAAAGTAACAATAAAAAATGTTCAATTTTTCTCTTTAAAATGGGGTATAAAAATTTGTTTACTAACTTCATTCTTCACTTATAAATAGGGTATAAAAATATGTTTACTAACTTCATTATTACTTTAAAAATAGTAATAATTAATATAAAATCATCCCAAAATCCATATTCCAAAAATATAAATATTTTTCGTTAATAAAACTCATGGTAAATCCTTATTCCAAAAATATAAATACTTTGCTTCGCTAAAATTTTTATACACATAATTATATACAATTTTTTTTTTTTAACCTTTTATAACCGAATTATTCCAAACTTCCGATCCTGAAGTCACTGGCACCACTAACAACACCCCAACAAAATTACAACACAAAAATTTAGAATTTTCTTTCCGGTATATTTTATTTTTCACTTAAAATCCAAGAATAGTATAATGATCATTTCATAAAAAAAAATTAAAATAACAACAAAATATATTGATTGACATTCTTCGCAGTATTTTATTTAACAACTGCGACACTATATGAAGCAGTAAATGATTATGGATTAAGTCATAGTGAAAAATTAATACACACTTCTTAAGGATATTAAACTAATATTTTTATCATGTAATAATTGTAAATAGCAGATATGGTAAAATATGTAATACACTACATGGAAATGAATGTAAAAAATAATATGTAATACACTACATGGAAATGAATGTAAAAAATACGGTTATGGTTCAGATATTTATAAAGTTTTATAACGGTTTAGAGGTTCATCCTGGTTCACTCGGTCCCTGACAAATTCTTAAGATTTTTTTATAAATAATATAAAATCACTATAAAATTATTCAGTCACATAATGCCTTTGCCCATATATGGTTTAGGATTTTTTGGGATTCAATCAAATTTAACAGGGAAGATATTTTATTTTAAAACAGAATTTAAATAAAATTTATCTATTCACATAATTAAATTGCAATTATGTGGCTCTAAACAGGCAATAAGAGATAAGAAAAATATATAAAATAAAAAATATCAAATTTTTTTCTATATTGTATTCTTTTATAATTTATTTTTCAAAATTCATTTTTTTACATAGTATATAATTCTCATCATTTGCTTTTTTTTGGGTAGTCTAGGCAACTCCATGATGTTTTTGGTGTATTGCTGGTTGATTTACATATAATTCAGACTTGCTTATTAATATCAATTTGGCAGGGCTTATAAAATATTTCCAAGTCTTGTTTTAGTGGTTCCGATTCTACATTTTGATTTTATGCCTTTTCAAAATTTATTTAGCTAATTAAATTTTGGCTGAACTTAAGTAAATTTTCTAAAAATTTGAGTTAAACTCAAGCTTAAGTTATTTCTTTATATTTTTTCAAAAATTCAAGCAAGACTTAGAAAATCTAAAAAATAAAATCGAGATATATTTGGTTCTTTTAAATGATAATTAAAATGCCCCTGGGATTAGGACAAAACAATTGTTTATTTTTAGCTTTAAAATTTCAAGCTAGGATTTGGTTTAAGAATTTTTGTCTTGGAGATTTAACCAATTCGATATCCCCGACCATGCACCCAGGCTTAAGGACGGGCCTGTCTGTCTCGTATATTTTGTAATTAACCCAAATTAATTAATTTAATAATTGATGTGTTCTGACGAAGGTAGAATTATTCTTTAAAATTAATCACCAGTGAGTCTAAATCTAAGATTTAACATAAAATATATTGATTTTTTTATATCGACACGTAATAAGTATCAGAGCAAGACTACGATACATTAAAATTTCACAAGGTATTAAATCAAGTATTGCGATACTTAACGGATAACTATCACATTTAAAAATGATATATATGAGGTGAATAGATTTACAATTAACCATTAATGGGTTAATAATTTTATAAATTGTGTAAAATAAAAAAAATCATTTTTTCAATGTGCTAACCCAATTTCTTGTATTTAAATCTAACCCAGGATCTTGGTGCCTTTTTAGTCTTAGAGTTTCCCTTTTCAATATTATTTAGATGGATGTAACACTATTTTTTTAAAAAAGTCGCTCCTTAAAAGGACACTTGATTTAAAAGCTATATATATATTGTCAAAAATGTAGCAGGTCACAATTTTTTTTAATTATGCACCTCAGGAAAAAATTACAGCTTTAGGTCATTGCTACGCCATTGACCCTTTTTCTTTTTTGTTTCAAACATTTCCTATTTTTTTTAGCTATATAACAAAATTTTTATTATGCAATATTTAAAATAATGTACCTATTTAATTTTGTTTAAATATTTAGGAGAATATTTTAACACAAAATAACGATGATGGTTCATGTATTGCTGAAATGGTTGATCAAATAAAATTAGTTATGCAACAAGATGAAAATAGCTCTAGGTCAACTAGCTCTGCTCATAAACTCATTGAAAATATGATAAAGGAGTTTGTGATATCAAAAGATACTTTGTACCCACCATTTAAATTGATGAAGGAAAAGGTATATTTTAATAATTTGATTTCTATAAAATGCAAATTTCAGAGTTGTTAATAGCGTCGCTCCTCCGTTTCCTTAATTTAATTGTATAAAAATTATTTAGCAATATTAAAATATTGGAATGAATTGTAATTTGCTTTCGGTTCATTTTTAATTGCCCCATATATTATTCAAATATATTCTTATCGGACTATTCATAACCAAATTTATTATAGTGCTTACAAATTTAGCAGAAGTGTTTAGCTTTTTTATTCTAAAAAAACATTTTATTGCTTAAATTGAAATGGCATTATTTAAAAAACTGTGAAAAAAAATTTATTTTGCTTTTAACTCAAAAAACTAGGGGTGTATCGATACCACTTTTTGGAGGCCGATCCTATCCGATATTAAATTGATATCCGATTACCGATCCGATATCATATCTAATCAATGGTTTTAATTTTATATACTTTTTGTTAGTATAACATCTATAATTTAACTATACCATAACATGTCATTTAAATATATTATAGTGATCAGTTATAGTTTATATTCAATTCAATTGCAATTCTAAAAGTATATTATTTTTATTGGTAAATCACTTATTTTTATAATAATTAATAACATTAATCTATTTACACAATAAGTAATAAAAATATATTTAAAATTAATATATCAAGATTTCTTTTTAGAAATACCAAAATTTCTAATTTATCAGAGGTAAGCCTGCGGCTATGGGGATTGTTCACCAGCTTCACTAGAAACAGATTCTGAAGAGTTTATCGCACACTTTTATAAACAGAATGTGCAAAAAAATAACAATTGGCAGAATGTTTATTAATTATTAAAAAAATATTAAATAAATGGTTTTTTATAGTGCTGTAAACATTTTTAAAAAAATCGAACGCGTTCAACGTTCATTGACAAAAATCGAACGCGTTCACGTTCAAATTCAAAAAAAGGAACGCGTTCATGCGTTCAAAATTTTATAAATTTTTTTTAAATTTAATTGAATATAAATAAATGCCTTATATTTTTCAACACAATATATTAGCCATGATAAAAAAATAAATTTATAAATTTTTTTTCTTAAATACTAATATTAAAATGCCTTATTATAATTAACTATATATATATTATGTAATTATTTTTACTTAGAACAATTAAAATAAATTATTAACTGGCTATATAGTTATACATATTATATAATATAAAATAATTAATGTTACAATCAGATGTCTTTTTAAATTGGAGCTTGAAGATGTTGACACTGATATAATACTTTTTGGACACATTTTACATTTGGTAACTATTGAATTACCTTTTGATTTTAAAACAGTGAAATATTTTTGATATTTGGGCCATGGTAATTCTAATTCATCTAATATTGAATTTTGATTTTCAGAATCTGATGATGAAATATTTATATCCATGCAAATGCTAATCTATTAAATAAAATATAAAATATTCAAATTAATAAACTTTAATCTTATCTTCTCTAGCAGTAGCACGTTATGGTACGTTAATTGCAATATGAAAGAGGAAAAAGTAAAAACAGCTGATTAAAAAATATAAGACTTTTTTGTTAAAAAATTGGATTAAATATTAATTTTTCAAATAAATAAAAATATAAGACTTTTTTGTTAAAAAATGCGGATTAATATTAATTTTTTAAATAAATAAAAATAAAAAGTGTTTATAAAATTGAACGAACGTAAAATTGAACGCGTTCATCAAGGAAAAGGAACGCGTTCACGTTCAAAGTTCGTCAAAAAAAAGGAACGCCGTTCATCACCTTTTTTCAAAAAAACGAACTTCGTTCACGAACGCGTTCATTTTAAACGCGTTCGTTTACAACACTAGTTTTTTAAATATAACCTTTTTAAATTATAATATTATATTTTTGTTAAAAACGCTATTTTTTATCAGATCGGATCGGAAATTTTATAATAATGGCCGATAACTGATATTTTAAAATGGGTGAATATCGGCCCGATCCGATCCGATAAAAAATATTCGCACTTACAAAAAACATACCAATGTGCACGTTACCATTTAAACTGGTTATTTGATATATTATGCAAAAGAAAATGCTTTAATTTGCAAGAACTATAATTCATTAATATTTTCTAAAATGAATAATTTAAAAATCTTTTATTAAAGTCTTTAAGATCCTTGGTAAATACCCTATTAATTAAAGTAGGGTTGTACCGATATTTTAAATCGTATCTTGCCGATTTTTTGGCCTTTTGAAATATCGGTCATCGGCCGATATTATTAAATTTTTTATATATTTAATAAAAATTAATTTGATTTATGTTATAAAATAATAAAATATATATTTTTTTATAATGATGTTTATGATTTTTAAACTAAATAAATAATTTTAAAAATTCTAGCAGTTTACATTGATCATATAGACTAGTTAGGATTAAAAGTTAAGTTGGCATTTATAAATTAGATATTATTTATAATGTGCAATTAATAATAAATAGGTTATTTTCAAAGACAACCATACAGTATATCCTTCCAAACACAATGTATTTTTTGTGCACGCGATTTTTCGTTTTTAATATAAAACTGATATTTTTTAACTATTAAATGGCCTCTGATACGATTGAAGTGAACAAGTTGATTTTTTTAAAATAATATATTATAAATTAATTTTAAGTCAAATTAAGTATTATATGATTTGGGTATTTTATATGATAAAAGATAAAATAGTTTGATATTGCATCATATCTTTATGAGTTTATTAAACAACTTTTTATCTTTAATTTTTAATCAAAGAATTTTTAAATTAATTAAGAAGGAAATTATGATAATGTAATTATTAGATAGGGGAGACTGGGGTTAGGTAAACCCCGGCAAACCACTTAATCTTATGACTGGGGTTAGGTAAACCCCCAGAAGGATATTTTATCCTAATATAGTTTTTATTAGTTTACATATATAGGCAAAAAATCTTTTGAAATAATTTATTATTTGATGAAATTCTTAAAAGATTTTTACATTACAGAATTTTAATTTTTATTAAAATATTTAATCATTTATAAGTATATTAAATTTTGTAGCAAAGTTTGAACACTATTCTATAATTTGGGAATGAGTATTTATTATATATAAATATTATTTCGATCATGATTTGTCAATTTAGAACTAGCGGGGCTTGCTAAACCATACACGTCAATTATGTAGTGTTGTTAATTGGTTGGTTGTATAAAACCAGACCCGGGGTTTGGGTCTAAAAAATCGACCAAACCAGCTCTGAGCACAGACCCGGGGTTCAGACCCGGGGTCGTGTCGTGTAACGATTTAATAAACAAGTTAATAATTAAATATTTTTTATTGCAATAATAATAATGACTGAAAGAGGGCAGGGCGGGTCTACTAGGTCTTGGGGGGTCAGGAATAATTTATCAAAACAAAATATCGATATATGGGTAAAATATAATCTTCTAAACTAAATATCTTTAGATTGAAAGTATTCATTTTTTATCTTGATGGGTATGAATGACTTGGTTTTGGAGGTGGATGGGGTAGGGGGGGGGGTGAAAGTGGGGGGGGGGGTGAAAATTAATATTTTTTATATGGAAATAAAAATATTTTTTTGTAATGATAATAATAATGATCACTCATACAGGGCGGGTATAGGTCCTGGTGGGGGGGGGGGTCAGGTATATTTTTATTAACACAAAATATCGATATGGGTGTTGTTTAATTGGTTGGTCTTGGTTGTGTAAATCCCAAACCCGAGGTGGGTCTAATAAAATTACTGCGATCTAAATTAGCAATATTTATATAAGAAATAAGCCAGCATTAACTCGAGTCGAACTCCATAAATAATGTTGTTTCAAATATTTTAATTAAAATTATTTATCAATAATATCGAACTTAAATAGGAAAATCCTGCAAGCAACTCAGCTTATGACTAAAAAATTTTTAATCGGAGACTCTTAGGGCTTGGAAATAATAAAAATGAATTATTATGTAGGTTTGCTTATAGATTATTTCTATACCATCCTGATCTTAGTTCAGAATTAGATACGAACTTTCTGACCGGATTTTTTATATTTTAAATATTTTTTAGGCTGGAGTCTATATCCACGAGCAAGATGAGATGCATTCGATTCGTGTTTATGAAAAAATTATATAAATATAATTAATATTGTATTTTATATTCTATTGTATATATTTTTATTTAAATCAAATTTTAAAAATAAATTTATTTCTACTAGCACTTCACCCCCATTTAGTATATATATATATATATAAATATATGCATGTTTCTTTCACGTGGACAAAGCCGCGAAATCAAAATAAAATATTTTTTTAAAACCAAGCTTAATAAGCTGACATTAAAATTAATAAAAAAGAAAAACTATTGACGATATTATATTTATAACTAAGAAATGAAAAATAAATAAAATAAAACATTTGCAATTTATAAAAAAAATTAAATCAATTTATATAGTTTATTTTATTTAATTAAAGTTAAATAACTTTTTAAATAAATGTGTTATTTATTATAATTAATTTTACAAACAAAAAAGAAAAAAGAGAATAAAATAAAGCTTTGAATTATTAATTTAGAAGGTATAATAATATTAATTTAATTTAAGATTAGATATGAGATTTATTTTATCTTACTTTACATATATCTGTTCTGAACCCCGTGTCTAGATTCCGGAATAAAAAATTTAACATATAAAAATAATATGAACCTCGGGTCTGGACCCCGGGTCTGAACCCCGGGTCGGCCTGAGCACAAAATTTGGTCGTAAATTTTACGACCAAGCAAATTAACAACACTATGATATAGATCGAATTTCCTTTTTGATATATCATATCGTATGTGAGTTCAAGAGGCTGTGTGTGAAATATTAAATAAAAAACTAGTAATTA